CAATGAAATATTCCCTTCTATATAGTAGTATAAAAAGTTCAACCCCCATATTTATGAATATTTGATAATATAAATATAAGCTAAATTATAAAATTAAGGTTTTTAATTTTTATTCAATCTGAAATTAATTTTGAAAATTTATAACTTTTATCGTTATGTTACAATAATCCTAACACCCTCCAACATGTGGCAAGATCCTCCTGTAATTCTCGTTAGTACCTAAACCGGATCAAAATACCCAACCAAAATCAACTTTTCAACTAATCAGAGCTAAAAATGTCAATCATACAAGTGGATAAACAAGCAATAAAAATGAAACTGAATAGAAAATAAAATCTACATATAACTAAATTCAAATGAGAATTCAGCAAAACGTCGAAAATTTCTGCTCATATAAGATTACGAGTTTACAAATCAATGCCCAATATGATTGTACAGGTGAATTATAAACACTAATAAGAGAACTCTCTATCTCCGATCTCGTCAAGTGCTCAACACGTATAAAAAGCTATACACAGAAAGCGGAAATGGTACCTTTTCAGTAATTGAATGAGAATGAGATAGCAAAAACAAAAACAAAAACAAAAAGATATTCCCCTTTCTGTTATGCTTCGTTGAATTGAACGAAAGAGGAAGAAAATTGTCTCTGCGAAGTCGACAAGGAGAAATATAGCTGATTGGTTGTAGTGACGATTTTCGCCCGCATTTAACAACGAATTTATATTTAACCGGATTGTCGAGCTTGATCACAATTTTCTCCCCTCTCTCCTCCCCTCTCTCTCTCTCTTAAAAATTAACTACTCAATCTCAATATTTCAGAATCCTCAATCAAATAAATAACATTATTCTAATTTTAATTGGGCCTGCTGGCCCTTAAAATTTCGAGCGAGCGCCCGGTTTTTCAAACTAGGCGCTCGCCCAGTTAAAAAAAAACCGTTTTTTTTTTTTTTTTTTTGTCGAACTCATTTTTAATCACCGAATATTCTATACACAATTTTTTTTCCTATTTTTTAATCACACATTTTTCAAAAAATCACTATTTTAAAATTCATTTTTTCAAAAAATAATATATATATATATAAAAAAAACTCATTTTTAATCAAATATTCTACACACAATTATTTTTTCCTATTTTTTAATCGCACGTTTTTTCAAAAAATCACTATTTTAAAATTCATTTTTTCAAAAAATAATATATATATTCGATTATCAAACAAGGGCTAAATTTACTAAAAAAAAATTAAATTTTAGCAAAATCAAATAAGTGCTTATTTTTCTATTCCATTTTATAAAACTTCTTTTAGATAATTTTGATTCTAAGAAAGGAATTATTTTTCTCGAGTTATATTTAGCCATGTTTGAGTCCGAGCCCTTGTTTCACAATCATTAAAATAAAACTCTTTTTTTTAATTAATTGTTAATAACAGGTTCTCACCATAAGTCCATGTTTGATGGCAATTTAAATAAATACATTGTGGAGTTGCTACATTCACAATCATCGAGTAAGGAGTTTTTGTGCAATAGAGAAAAATAAAAAATAGTTATTACGAACTAGGAGAATTACAAAATGTGCCCTACGAATAGGGTTTATCATATTTTGTTTACAATTAATTCACTACCTTTTATTTTAGAGTATTTTAGAGTGAGGTAACAGAAGATAGTTTTTGCCGAAAAATGGCAAATATATAAGTATAAATAGTTAAATAAATGATAATAATTGGAAATAGCTAATCACAAAATTCATATCACATTCAGTAACACCATACATATAAGTTTTTTTTAGTTATTTTTGTATTCTCCAGATATTTAATTACTATTTAATTTTCATCTAAAAAAATTATATATTTCTCTCTCTTTTACATACCCCTCTATGAATTAAAATTCAGTTGAATCTTTGTACAAAACTATAGAATTGCCTAATTTTAACTTCTCTCCATCCATACATTTTCTCTCTCTATTTTCTTATATTAAAAACGAGTTCTCTCTTGTATCAAAGCATGTTACGCTATTATATCTTCTTCGTTCTTTCTCTGTATAGATCTTACCCCTTCAAAACTCTCTCCTCGATATCGGTTCTATCTCATTTCTAATTACCTTTATCGGATTTTTTTTATTTTAATAAACACGTTAGAATATTTTGTGTGGGCATATAATAATAGTTGATTTACTCACAAATTTTATGTTAAAGCATATGAACAATTATATTATTGTAACAATTTGCATGCAATGTACGTAACGTATTTAGAGTTCATTTGACATGACTTTTGAGAAGTTAAAAGGAGTTTCGAGATTCAAAAGTTGATTTTGGATCCATATGACTAATTTTATGAAAATGATTTTTTATTTTTTTTTTTGCTTAGAAGAGTTTTAGAGAAAATTGGTCATATGTGATTTTATCTAAACACACTTTCGGAATAAGAAATTCTTTTAAAAATTAGTTTTCAAACAAAAATTATGATAATTTTTTAAAGAAAATCTTATACAAAAAAAAAAAAAGAAGCAAAAATCATATCAAACAAGTGCTTACTAATTGCTCTGGTAGTATTTTGATCTGTACAGTAGATCAAATAACCTCACTATTAAAATGGGAAAATTTCATAAGTAAGGGATTAAGTATCATCAATTTCAAAATTAAGGACAAATGTTTTAAATTTCAAAAATTAGGTTTTTATTAAAATTTAATTAATTAATTAAATATATTAAGATCACATATCTATACAATTTGGTCACAAATTAACTATTAATTAGTCACATATTATTTTTCGATCACAAATCAAAAAATTTATATATCACAAATTATTTTACGATTACAATTCAAAAATTTTATAGGTAACAGTTTGTTAATCGATTACGAATTAAAAATTTAAAAATCACAATTTATTTATCGATCATAAATCATAAATATTATAAGTCACAACTTAATATACAATCACAAATTATCAAATTACGGTTACAACTTAACAAATTTTTGGGTCACATATTATTTTTTTGGTCATAATTTATCTTTTTTTGTTTGTTACATATTGTTTATTGGTCATAGGTTAACCAATTAGATAATCACAATCAACCAAATAATCTGTAACCACCACCAACGCTTGCGACAATCATCTTGTCACTGCCTCCACCAGCACCACCACCACTGTCGCCGCCCAATAGCAACATCACCATCTAAAACAAACCAGCACCACAACCTCCCAGCACCGCTGTCACCACCTCCAACAAACTACCACTTTTAACTTCAAAACCACCACCGCCAACAAGAAGATCCACAGATGCCACCACCAACAAAACCACAGCCACTACCAGATCCAACATAATTGCTGCTACCCAAACACCACCACCACCACCACAGCCCCATTCCCCAACTGAAAACACAACCTAAAAATCCCACACCAGATCGCGGAGGTGCAGATTCTGACCATGATGCGCAGCAAATCCTGACCACAGCACTGTCAATCACGACCATTGCCAATCACGACCACCACAGCCGCCGCATGCACGCGCGCACACACCCAACCACCGCACCACCATCGCACCCACAACATTGCACCTGCACCATCACGTCACCACCCTCACTGCCGCCAGATCCATCATCACCATAGTAGTATGAAAATCACTCACCGCTTCAAACCTTCTTCCATGGGATGACGTCCATGCCACCGCCTGCGCTCGTGTCGCTGTGGTGTCATGTTGCAGTCGTGCGTCGTAGAGAGGGGAGAGAGATGTATAGGCGGGAGGGAGAGAGGAAATTAGGGTTTGGGTGGATAGATTAATATTTAACGTAGTGATTAAAATTTATTAATAATTAAATTTAAATCATATTAATTATTAATTGAAACATAATTTCTGTATTATGAAACTTGATTCTTGATTTATGAAAATGAAATTTTAAAATCCCGTCCTCTATTAAAATGGAACAATACATAAACCAGGTTTTTAGTATACACCATTTCAAAATTACGGATAGATGTTTTAAATTTCAAAAATCAGGTTTTTATTAAAACTTAGTTATGATTTAATTAATTAATTAATTATATATTTAATTAATTAAATATATTAAGGTTACAGATATATACAATTTGGTTACAATTCAAAACTTTTAAGGTCACAATTCAAAAAATTTATAGGTCACAGTTTGTTCATCGATCACAAATTAAAAATTTAAAAGTCACAATTTATTCATCAGTCACAAATCACAAATTTATAAGTCACACAACTTATTTTATGATCACAAAACATCTAATCAATTGATCGCAAATTATATTTAGGTCACATTTCATCAAATTATTGATCACAAATAAATAATTTTTAGGTCACATATTGTTTATTGGTCACAGGTTAACCAATTTAATGGTTACAAATGACCAAATAATCTGTGACCACCACCTCATCATTCCCTTCAGCAACACCACTGCCACCGTCACCGCTAGAACCACCACCACCTCCCGACAGCAACTCCACCCCAAACAAATCAACACATCGCAAAAAAACACCATCGCATCCTCGCACCGATCCGCCGCCGTCGCCGCCACTAACAAAACCACTGCACACAATCATAGAACAACCACCGTCTCCTCTCACAGAACGGCTTCGCTTCTCGCAGATCTCACAGACCACCACGCCCATCATAGATCCACCACCACGCCGGCGCAATTACAGTAACCACAACCACCACCTCGCACCCCAACACAGCCCACACCACCATCAACGCACACCGCCATCTCGCACCAGATCTAACCACAACCACACACATCACCAAAACCGCCGCTACTAGAACAACCACCACAACCATACATCACCAACACCTCGCCTGATCTAATCAACGGAGAGCACTACGGCACTATCAACAAGCCATCAATAAAAAAAAACTTGTTGTCCATTAGGCATCACTGCCATGGTCGACCGATGTTACAAAATCTGATATCCATTAACATGAACAAGACCTCTAACACTACCATTACCGATTTCGTCTAACTCAGCGGTGGCTTTGCGACGAAGAGATGGTGAGAGGAGAGGCTTTGGTACGGAGAGAGGATAAGATGTGATAATAGATAGAGGCGGTGGTGGTGCCGTCGGGGTGGTGGCGGCGGGAATAGAGAGAGAATGGAGAGAAAATGGGTCGGCAGGAAGAGAGAGAGGGACGAGAAAATGAAATAATTAGGGTTTGATATTGTGTAGGATTGATTTAAATAAAATATAAATTANTAGGATTGATTTAAATAAAAATTAATTTAAAAATCATTAATTAAAACCTGATTTATGTATTATTAAAGTTGATTGTGGATTTATGAAAATTCTATCTTAAAAACTCGTGAGGCTGTAATTTCCTCCTATTAAAATCCAGTAGAAGACCATTGTGTCGTGTTTTCCTTATGGGCCATGTGAAGCCCAATTAGAACCCAGTCTTACTAATGAGAACCGTATATATAAATCAGCCCGTTCATGTCTTATTGATAGAGCCAACTGGCGTAGGGGACAAGCGGATCTTGCATTGCAGCGATTTCTACTCAACTTCCTCATCAAGGTAGATTCAGATTTATTTTCTTAGAAATGGGATTTATATGTTGATTCTGCACTCGATCTGATGGTTGTGAATGGTTTAATTTCAACAGAACATCAATCCAAGATTCTCATCTTCTAGCTCCTTAGAATTTTTTGTTTTATTTTTATTTTTTTCCAAAATTGTTGTTTCTTGATGGTAATCTTCCTCCAGCAATAGCGTTTTCTATTGAATTTTTTATGTGGTTATTTATAGTTTTCTCCTTGCATTTAGAACTGACCGGCCATCAATTATAATAGGTGAAATACCTCTCCTCCCTTGCTAGTCTGTACTCTGTAGTAAGTCTCTGTTCACGTACAGTCTATGTAACATTTCTCTGTATCCTGCTTCTTCCAGTCATTCCCCTATTAGTAATTTAATTTAAATTCTAAAACTAATAGGAATCGCTCTCTTGAGCAATGTAAATAAATGAATACTGTGAATTCAGTCTCAGACTTGCTTAATCCGATACTTTTTGAATTCCAAACTGCAGTTTCAGATATCTAAGTTATAATTTATATCCATCCTATTCTTAACAGCTAAAACAGTGTCACCAATGAATAACAGGTCATTATTTTTTGTTCGTCTCGTAAGTTCATCCATGATTATAACAAAAAGATACGGACTAAAGGTGGAATTTTGGCACCAGCCTTTAGTAGTATAGCCAAATTTTATCTCTAACTCGTAATTGCTTCTTCATATGTACCTTTGATATTATTGACGCGTCTCGTAGGTTTTTTTTGTAACGTAGCACCCACCTTATCACTTCCCTCGACATCGTATCTTTTACTTTTTCACGATCAATAAATATTATTTACAAATCTTGCATCCTTTTTTCTCTGTGCTTTTTTATCAATCTCCAAAGTAATTAAATCTCCTTGGAGTATACGTGAGATCAAATTGATACTAATAAATGGTATTGCTTTTCTTGAGAATAGGAACTATAATACATTGATTTGGCGGCATGCATTTTATTTTGCCTTCTCTGATTGCTTTTGTTCGTATGTGAATTATCTTTTGATTTTTATTTTTTGATTATTTTTTTTGTGAAATCCTATTTTCTGTGTTGACCCCTAAAGTTCAATTGATTTTATATTTCTTTGAAGTAAATACTTCTGAGTGGCAAGAATGCAAAAGGTGAAGTTTTGCCTGTAAAAGAGGAAGCCTTTCTGAACTAACAAAATGGGAAAATGGGGTTTAGAAGAAAGATGGAGGCAAAGGTTAAGGAGGTTATAGAAGTACCTTTGATTAAATGGCATTCATTTTTTCGGAGGTTCTAAATCTACCATCATTGGCATTTACTTCTGAGGATGTTTATTGTTTTTCATTTTTTTTACTACTATTACCTGGGCAATATATATAGATAATGCCAACTCATACCTTCTATTTGAAAACAGTCACAACGAATGCATATTCTTTAAAGAGCTCTTCTTGGATGAGTTAGGATCGGTAAACTATAATAACCTTTATGCGAATTCTTTGACTTGATTGGGGAATGGCGCTAAACTACTAATCAAGAAATTGAATCACCATCTCCTTTTTTCCAAAGCAATCATTCCAAATTTTATTTGACACTGCAATAGCTGATCTTTTTCCAAGATGAGTCTTCTTTACAACCACTTCTGAAATTAATACTGCAGGTGTTGTTCACTGGGGTGGTTCTAGAAACAATATGTCAGGCACAGAGGAAGTCAAAGAGCAAGCAGAAGTCGTTATGGAGGACGGTGAAAAGTCCATGCCATCAACCCAGCAGGAGGTTCTGTTCAACTCATTATCGTTTGTGGTATCTCTAGATTTATATGTGCCATTTTCTTAGACGAAATTTCCCCCCTTCCTTTATAGGAAGAGGCTGTTAAGAAGAAATATGGAGGAATTATGCCCAAGAAACCGCCACTAATTTCAAAGGTAGTACCGTTCCTTTCAATTTTACTTTTTAATGGAAGTGCAGGTGCCAAGAGCCTGAATAGCGTTCAGGTGCAGCTCCATCCTTTTCTCAAATATCTACATTTGATATCAGGATCATGAACGTGCTTACTTTGATTCTGCTGATTGGGCTTTGGGAAAGGTACTTCCACTTGTTGGCACCTTCTCCGTCTTGTGCATACATGGAGGTTACAGAAGTAAAAAAACTGGCATGCTCTAAAAGTACCTAACATCCATCAATGTTGTATGATGACAGCAAGGTGTAGAGAAGCCCAAAGGACCACTTGAGGCTCTTCGACCAAAGTTACAGGTGAACTTTCCCTGTACCTACTTATGACAGAGTGCAATGACCTTTTATATGATGTGGCATGATTTTTCCACAACTTTAAATTAAATAGTTCTGCAAATTGCTACATTTGTTTCAACGCGTATCATTAATTCTCTGGCTGACCAGAAAATCAGCAAAAGCAGAATTTGTCTGCTCAAAAGATTATTTTTTGCTTGAAATGATCAGACGATGAGTTGCTAGCACTGTGAAAGTTTGGCTGCTTTAATTATTGACATAACTGATGAGTCCTAAATGGAGGATTCTAATGCAAATAAACCTTACTGTTGGACATTAACTGCAACTTAGTGTTTCTGATGGTGAGAAGCCTATGATGAAATTCTAACAGAGGAAGGATCTGTAGTAGTATATCCAATTTTTTGATGATGATAAATCATTTTGCAGTTTGAAGGTTGATACACAGCTCAAGCTATTCCCCACCCCACCCCACCTCGCCCCCTCCTTTTCAGTGTTTACTATTTTGAATTCTGTAACTTCCAGCTTAAAGATTTATTTTCCCTTCACCTAAATAACTAATATTAGTGGATCCAGAAGTGCCTGATTGGGAGAAGGAGCTTAGAACGTGTATTTATCTTTTATGTGATGACGATGATATTAAGCCAAAATTTTGATTTAGCTTTATAGTTGCATGAATAAATGGATGATTTAACTGAATTCAATATTATATTCAGTAACTGAATGGCTTCCTTGATTTATATTCATTCAGAATTTAAAGCTTTTCTTCCCCAATTCTGATTCTTTCAACCAAATATGGGATACGGATATAATTCACCTCTTAAAAACTATCTGGATTGTAATGAAGGTTTATTATATCTAAAACTTTAAATAAATATGAGTGCTGAGATGGAAAATGACATCTTGCTTTTCATTGTATTTATCCTAAGAAAAATTGATGATCCTGGAGGCTAGTAGATTTATGCACATATTTTTTACAATCATCTGCTGACGTATCTTTTGCTTCCTTTTGCACTTGATGTTCTAGCCAACTCAACAGCAAACACGCTACCGTAAATCTCCTTATGCTCCATCTGTAGGCGAAGGTATGTACTATTATTGATTGTATTTCTTAATGGATTTGTCATTTTCCTTTAGATTCTTCTATATATACATATATATGTCCTTTTGCTGTTTTTGTTTTATTGGCTTTTCACAAGTAAGTTGTGTTTTATGATTCATCACACACGGGTAGGATGGTGAGAGGCTCAGTTCCCCAGTTTTCTCCCTAATAAACAGCAGCTCTTACTAATTTTTTTCTTTGCATCTTACCACGCTTCTATATTTACGTAGATGGAAGTTCTGCCCCGTCTGAGGAGGCGACAACAAATGAATGAGAAGCAGGCTTCGATTCTTTTCTTGTTGAGGTCATTGATTGTTGCTTAACTTGATGTATAAATGAGTGACTTCTGCTGAAATAAAAACTGCGGCCATGTTTTCGTGCTTGAGGAAGAATTCAACAACACATTGTAATTTTCCAGTCTGGAGAACTTCCTGATCTGTTGTAGACTTTTTTCCTGCTTTTGGTTCTAAGTTCACTGTTGAGATTTCGGACCATTTATTCGAGTTTCTAAACCATTTTGCTATTTAACCTATTAGAAATTAGAAAACCACCTCAGAATAATGTGTGTTTCGGTTTTCATTTCTAAATACCCCTTCATGTCCAAATTAGCTTCATTTTAAATTGAAGGGTTCAATACAATTTTCATAATTGGACGATGACAAATCTTGGATTCATCTTTGATACCATGTAAAACTTAGCATTTTATAAAACTATTTAAGGAAATCTCACCCAAAGTTTAGGTGTACTAGAACCAATTTTATCAGTTCTTTATATGAAAAAAAAAAAAAGAACTATGGGTGTCATCTACATTTTGATCCATGAAGTTTATTTTTATAACATTTTTCAACTTTTTGGTACATATTTTTTGAAACTTATTTTTTCTCCGAACTCATTTTCAACCATATATAATCTCAAAATTATACTTTTGTACGTGAATTCATAACTTTTTCCTATTTTTTATTCACGTTTTTCAAAAAAAATTATATCAAAGAGGCCCTAAATAATATAGCAATGATCCCACCACTACATAAACAGAGATCATTCCTAGTAGAGATGAATAACATTATTCCTTTTATTTTCGACCGAGTTATTTCAACTGACGTGCCCAAAACTTATGAGTTCATAGAGCCATGGACTATCGCATGCTTTGTCCCATCCACGGCACTGGACAAGGAGATCACATTACATAATGATTAAAAATTCAGATACAAAAAAAGCATTTGAACCTACAGATACCATACTGGTTTTCACATGATCAGTTTGTTCAGATGGCATTTCAAGTATCGGAAACCCACAAAGTGGACTGCACTACTGATGCAATTTTTCACAAAAAATTCAGGAAAAAAGATACTGTACATGGAAAATAGAAGAGAAAACAGCTGAAATCTTTAACAAATATACTTCCACAGCTCTATCAGAAAACTCTCGGGCTTCCTCAACTCCTATGAAAATATAAAACCAACAGTCTCAAACTGCTGCAAATTCCATAATAAATACATAATCCAACCAGGTATGCCAGGACAAGAACCTTCAATACGAAGACTGTTTTGCGGTGGCACGTGTCCATGTGAATTAAGAGTGATCATTATCAAACCTTCACCTCGGGAAACGAATGTCTGGTTCGTGACTATAAACTCCTTGGTCATGAGCAGCATGAAAAGGGTGAATCTGCTTTGAGTTTGCCTGGAGTTCCATTTCGACTAGCCTTTGGAATGCCTCGGGAGGATTACCAAAAGAATTATCAGGAGCTGGAACAATAATGGGAACATTTGTAAATTTTTACTCGAAATGGGGGAAAAAACAAAACAAATCTCAGATTGAGTTGTTTCTTGTTTCAGATATTATGTAGATATGCACAAATTATGAATAGTAGGAGTCATGCTTTGGCACTTACATGCTTGTGCTATCTACAACAATGTTAAACCACAAAACTACTGTCCAACTCAAAAATATAAAATATGAATCCAAGCATAAAAGCAGACCAAGAACGATAAGCACTAAATGCTCGTTTCATGAAGGGCCAAGAACCTGTAACGGATTTTTTGATAAGATCCATTTTCCAGATGGAAGAACACAAAAGGTGCTAAATCTTTAACCTTTGAGAAAATGAATTAAATTCAAAAATTCCTATTTGGGTTTCTGATAGAAACTGCTTCCTCTTACACAACAAACATATTTTTCTAATTCATTGAGATGAGGTAGCCAACTTTCATTGCCCACTTTAAGAAAAAGATGCAATGCACCAGAAAATTCTAACAATTAGGTGTAACAATGTAATAAAAAATTTAGTCCCTTGTGATTTCTGTGAACTTCGGTCAACATGCATGTATACCCATCATTTTACTATATATGAAAGTGGGAAAGTACTATCTGCTTAATTCAACAGATTTTAGAAGTACTTCCTTAGAATTTTCCCCAACACGTGATTCAATATTTGAAATGTTTTGATTTCTATAGATTTTTCAACTATAATATAACCACTCAAATTTTATCGTTTACAGGCTACAGCTGACATTTCCAATTTTTTCCTAACGTCGTTCAAACAATAAAAGGCTATGTCTTCTACCTAGTGACACACAGGATAACCATAATACATATCTAAAGGCCAGTTGACTGATTAAATTGTAAACATAATATCTAATATATCAAACAAAATAACAGTTTGAACTGATATTTGTTAGTCTTAAATGTTTTGAGAAGGCAGGAACTTCTTTAAATTTACTCCACTTACCATAAGCTTTTCCTAGAAATCCAATATTTCGTTTGCTTTGGAAGTACAAGTAAAACCATTCCCACAACAAACTAAGCTTTACTCTCGATGCACTTGAGGTTGGCCAAAAGCAAGACCATTTCGATTGGCAAATAATTTCTGATTCCTTAAAGATGATAAATAAATAAATAACTTCAGTGAAAGTTCCGGTAGTCAGTAGTTTGTTGACTTCAATATCCAAATTGTTGATATTTAATATCTAGATACGCTAGATGACTATGTCAGTACTAGAAGATTACTTAGGCTGGCAATAATCACCAATTACCCCATGGTACATGATTTTTGTTGACTACATATGGAGATTTCTTTGTAGTCTTGCCAAAATACGCACTTTTAGTCATAAAAGTAAGAAAAAGATTCTGATATAATTATTATAGATAATTGATTTGACTTTTACAGTGATATTGAAATTCTTCCATGTTTTTGTCCCATATTTTCTTCTCTCTTTCTATCCATCTCTCTCTCTCTTACCCGTCCTACATCACTACCACTCTGTAGCATACAAAAAGTCTACTAATTCCTTTTTCGTTCTAGAACCAGGATAACCACCTTTGACCATTAACTTAACAGAGGATTTAGTGAACATATTGATACATTCTCATTACATCATATAGAATGATATTAAGTACTCCCATGTTGACTTCTATAACAATTAAAGCTGCAAGGTAATAACCAAATAAGGACAACATAATAATTACAGGGGTCAAGTAACACCAAAATGTAAATGTGGATTTTTATAACTATTCTAAGCAAGGTTTAGCTATAAGTAACTAGCTGATAAAAGCAAGTACATCAATTAGAAATATTGTACAAAGGCAGATTGGTGAAATAAGGAGTTCAAAGCAGGAAGATAATTAGCAGGCATTTTGACAGCCCAGAAGAGGTTACTAGGTTCTTATATCCTCAGGAATCAGCATAGAATGATCTTACTATAAATTTTAGTCTATGATAAACTTCAGTACTGTTTATTCATATGGTAATTAAAGTAAAAAAAAAAAGGAAAAGATAAGTAGATATACTTATTCTTAATTTGTTTTTTACTTACCATTTACCAAAGAACAATCTCATGACCTACTTCTCTTTCTTTTCAATTTCCAAGGTGATTAGATCCAGAACTTTGATTTTTTGAAGTTTTATAGTCTGCACAAGTATTCTTTGATTTGATGTTTCCAAAATGCCTTGCTATGGCGCTATGGACTTACCCTAATATGAATTGAAAAGGTTCAACCTAAAAGAATGTGGTAAATATATCTCAGCTATAGTAAGCCATAAGGACGAAAACAGAAAACTTTAAACAAGGAGGAAGTTTCTACCTGGCATTGACATCCCAACGCTGCCAATGTTGGGTTGGTGGGGTCCAAAAGGAAACCCTTGCATTGGGTTCATGTCCTGAATAAAACTGGTTGTCTGATTGCCAGGATAAGGCACAGGAGCACCCCTTGGAAAGTCAGGTAACAGCTGAGGACGATTGCCTGGCATTGGCATAGGATGCAGCATTGAACGATGAGCATGGAGATTGTACCCTGCAACTCCTGCATTGGGATGGCGAAAAGGAGGGCGAATATTTTTTGCAGGAAATTGGGAATTGACTGTAGCATCATGATTGAACATACTCACTGGACCCATGAACTTCTTCTGGGAACTCGTGTATGCAGGATAAGAATCCAATGGATGGAATAATGGACTCACATGACTCATATGTGGGGGCTGAAACTGGGGAGGTGATGGTTGGACCTGAATGTTGCGATATGGAATCTCAGGATCTGTCTGTTCATAAGGACCACGTGCAAAGGGCAGACTTTCTGAACCTACCATAGTTCTGTTGTCTTTGATGACAGCACCCATAGCTGCAAAATTCTCAGCTATGTCAACGTGCACGTTCGAAGACAATAACTCATTTTTACTTGAGTTTCCGGTTGGCATCAATGTCGACAATTGGGGTTTCAGAGAATCTCCAACAGAAATTAAGCTCTCATATTCAGGCAGCTGAAATTCAACTGCCCCACTATAGCCACCATGTTTGGCCACTACTTCAGTCGGGTGCTTTGATGAATTTATTTGAGAATCATCAAATCCTAGCCAGTTCCCAGACTTGGCCAGGTTGGTTTGGTCCCTGTGATTTGAGCTCAAAACACTATTTTCATGACTTGTTCTTTGAAGTCCAATTTCATCAATTGTATAAGAAGAAACACCATTTTCCATGACTGGAAAGGATAATCCATGAGGCTCCGGAGCAGCCACTTGCGCAGATGCATTTGAGCCCCTTTGGACAGAAATAGGTGCTTCAACTGATTGGAGCTCCTTCATGAAAGCTGTTCCAAAGAGAGTTTCAAGTGTAAGAGTCTTTCCAGAATAATGTATATTATTAGTTTGCTCTTCAGCTTTAGGATCATCAACCGCAGTTCCTATTTCATGCTCTTCAAAAACTAGTACTTTGTCTCCAAAGCCAATGTCAGGAATGGGGCCCAGGGTCATAGTATTTGGGTCTGATCCCTTTTGCAACAATGAAAGCAGGTGCTGAGATGCATGATCATCATGTTCTCTAGGCTGTTCAAAATTTGTGCTGGAAGCACTCCAGCCTTTCAACAGTGGCATTGTGTTTGAATTCTTTTGACTGTATTCTGACAAAATTGACTGTTCAATGTCTTCGCATGTAAGGACAGTCGAAGTTACTTCTTTTTTATTACTGCTGAACACCTCTTCAGAGACGCCATTAGTTGCAGAGGGCATGTTAACTGAGGACTTACTAGCAAGTTCGGAGCTCTCATGTGTAAAGTGCTCAGGTTTTGCAGCAGAAACTTGTGATCTTTCTTTATCACTAGTGACAATTAACGAGAGTAAATCATTCGGCCTTCCAGCTGAGATGTCATTCACTGACTGAGCTTCTGTAATGCAACACAAAGGAATAGCAGGGTGTAAATTACATCTTTCTATGACTACTTACAAAACTGAACGGAAAATATTCATCATCCACACCTTCTTCAGAAAACCATCGGGCAAACTTTGAGGACGGAGTAGATTTTGGGCTCCATGTGTCAGGAACTTTGCCATTGTGATGCTAGAGGGAAAATGCAAGATATAAAGTATAGTAATGGAAGTCAAGCAATGCATATGCGAAGGAAAAGAAAAGGAGTAAGTTGGACTAAATGAATGTCAATAAATAGATGAGAGACACCTGTTCATTTCGCTAGGCCTTAAAGATCAATCACCCTAGACCTTGACAGACTAAATCTACCCAACTCAGAGAAGTGTTTGTTCAAATACGATCAGCATGTTACACTTAAATTAAAAGTTTACTTTCAAGTAAATTTTGTAAGCGAATAAGTTTACAAGTAAATAACTCTTTTCTTTGGCCAAAATAGGAAATAAGTAAATTACTTATTTTGATAATAAGTTCATAGTTTTACTTAAAAGTAAGAAAAAAGCTATGCATCCAACATGTTTGGAAACAATAAGTTACTTAAAATAACTATTTACTTAAGCTTACGTATGTAACAAAAGAAGTCTTAAAATAAAGCAAGAATATCTGAAAAACTATAGTAAGTTGGAGCCAAAAGTTGGAAACATGTTCTACACCATGACATAATTTCTGGTCAACCACTAATAATGAGGGAAAGCATATCTAACAATCTATAACATGATTATACTTTTCATAGACAGGAACAAGCCAACTTGAGAAACACAAGCTACTACAGACAGCAAAAAAGAGTGACGGGATTTGGACAGAGTAAAAGAGTGTTCAAAAGAAAAGCGATTAGATGTATGACTACCTCAGCTGAATCGACAGTCCCATCATCTTTCAGCGTTAGTGTACTGCCAAATTTTTTTTCCAGAACTGATGAATAGTTTCCCTCGGACTTGCCGACAACTTTGTCCTCCAAAACTTTGGCATTAAGTTCCGACTCGTTCAAAATTCCATGGTCATCCGAAAAACTAGTAGGATCACACTGATCCTCCCTGCTGACTTTCTCGTGAGGCACACCTAAACTTGAGTGTGAATTCACAATCTTCCCCTCGTTCAGAAGTGGTACACACTTGTTCTTATCTTCAGTTTGCCCATCAACGGAGCTAATTTTTTTTGATAATTGCCGCTCGAAACCGTCAACATTACCATTTTGGGCAGGGTTGGTTCTAAAATGCAGAAGTCTTTCCCCTGCTACATGCTTCCCAATCTGTAAGAGCAAAAGAAATTAGATACATGTGAAGAACAAAGACGTAGAAGTTTCTGACAGAGCAATTATAACAGCGTTACCCAATATAAATTTATCAGCAATCACTGAATAACATAAAATTCCATATAAAAGTATTAAGATCCTGGCTAGATATATAAAGCTTCCACTTGACAAATTTATCAATGGTGGTACACGCATATTCTGATATTAGCATGTACATTCTTAGCATAAACTGTGCATCCCAATCTTCTTCAACTTCTGTTTCCAGAGTAAGTTTTCGTTGCAATAGTTAAGTTAGAATGAGAAAATATTTTTAGTTTGCCACTACTTTCTGATGGCCGAGCTTAACTGTTGAAAAAACTGACGACTTTAGTACCCAGAGTAGGCCAAGTTTGGACAAGGAAAATGAAAAACATTAAAGACAAATTATCTTTCTTCATAGTATCCCACCCAAGAGTAAAATAAAGGGGGAAGAGAAAAGAATATAATCGTAGCCAGCGACAAAAATTAATTGATTCATTCGAGCATTATGTGGCAATGAAAGAGGGTGATAAAGCCATCTATCATTCAACAAAGAAATGCACCAAAATAGAGGAAATCACTTGAAACAGAGAGTTTTATTCCTTCCAAGCTTGTCAGTGACTAATTCATTCAGCAAAGAACAGAAAACTAGGCAGGCAGATTGCAGCATATTACAAATAAGGACACCACAAGAATTATAAGAAGGGAAAAATACTAAAGTAGATAATTGGCCAGTGGTCATCCGGCAATCAATCATAGAAAGTAACCGAAAATAATATACCTCTGCTAAATGGAGAGGAACCAAAGATTTCGTATCAGAACTATTCTCCAGAATATTGTTAGTAAAACCTGGTGGAACAGATGGTCTAGAAGCATTTGAAGAAAAAGAGGATTTTTCAAATTCATTACTCAAAACAGGAGTACTGGCAGTCGAAACATCCAATTCATTATACCCTCCCAGAAGTCCCTTTTCCTCTTTGTTACCCTCCAAAGATTCACAAAGGTCTAAGGCATTGTCAACTTTATGCTTCTCCAGACTCATTTTCTGATTCTCCTGAAGAGACTTCTGTTGTTCTTTTCTCATCAATACAAACGAATCTGGAAAGGAAGTCAAGATAAAACTCAGCCAACGACAAAAAGAATAGAGTAGAAGACATATTAAACCAATAGAGCAGCAGCAAAGGTACCGACCACACATGGCTCAAAGTAGAAAGGAAATATACCTCTTCTCCTCTTTTCTTCTTCTGCCCTATCATCACTAGTGTACTCCGTTGAACCAAATGTTTCATCATTAATGGAATCGGTGTCTCTCCGAGAGTGAGGTATGGCCTGAAATAATTATGAATTGCACGAGATTATGCTTAACAAAACGCCCACAAGTTTTCTTAATATGGCACATGGGTGCACCGAGGTTTTTAGAATAATTTGGACAAAAAAAAAGAGAGAGAAAACTATAGATCACTGACCCGGACAGCGGAAACTGAGCTACCAGAAATCAAATGGAATTTACAGGAAACTTAACCTTATATGGCCGCGGAGGTTGATATGGCTCATTCTTCTTGCTAAGTTGATAGTTCTCATTTGCTCGCACCTTTGCAACTGAGATTCCAGCTGCATAACCAGATGGTCTTGGAAATGAACCACTTCCAAGAAGTCCATCATGCTCAGGAGTCTGCCAAGACCTCCGAGATGGATGGCTGTATCTCCTTCCAGAATCTGCAAATGATGCGTGATAAAGTCATCAGACCATAAGAAAAACTATCTGATAAAAATGTTGTGAATGGTGGAAGACTGAAAGGTGGAGAAAATATCAAGATGTACAGGAACAAAGGGGTAAATATGGCATGCATGCACTCACAGTGCACAGAAATCTGATATTGGGAGTGCAATAGAAAACTTATAATTTGTGTGCATAAACTTTTTGCAGAAGGATAAATGGGTTTGACCCAAGGAACAAGCACCATGCTAGGCACCCAGTCATTAAGCAAGAATACAGGGACCGTGAGAATTCAGTACCTCTTAGACAGTATTCGAGCTCCATTCACTGACTAAAATTTTAGCATTCTAGGAAAAGAAGAGAAGGGGAAACGGTAATCCCAACTACAGCTAATTTTGGTTATAGAATAAGTATATTATTGGTCCAACAAAGCCAGATAAAGGAATAAACATAGTAAAATGAGAGATTAGTTGATGGATACATTTGAATGATATTTTTTTTTTTTATAAGTAATCATGTAATTTTATAAATCAAAAGATAATACACAACTACACAAGAAGTGCATTATCAATTTAAACAAGATAGGAACAACAAGAAATTTGGCAACCCTTCTACCGGACTAATAGTTGCAGCCTTAAACCAACTATACAAAGTGAAGTAAAACAATTCTCTAAACTGTTCTGGCGTCCGTGTTACATTTTCAAAGCATCAACTGTTTCTTTCTCTCCACACACACCAAACAAGGCATCCTGGAATGAGATCCCAAGCAATCTTGCTATTCTTGTCTCGAAACTTTCTCTTCCATGCCCATACCACCTCCCCAATACGCCTTGGAAACACCCAACTCATCTGTTGTGAAGCCAAAATATCGTTCCACAACCAACAAACACCTTCACAATGAATGAATAGATGGTCAATCTCTTCTCCATCCATCTTACACATATAGCACCATTCAGTTATATAACAACCTTTTCGTCGAAGGTTATCTGCCGTTAACACCTGCCCCCTCACGACCGTCCACAGTAAAAATGCCACCCTTGGGGGTAATTTACATTGCCATACCCTTTTCCATGGGAAAGAACTCTCCACAGGTTCCAATAAGGATCTGAAATAAGTGCGAACAGAGAACATACCATTTCGTGCCTCCCTCCACCTACTACGGTCATCCTCTTCTACCTTGAGGTGCACTTCATACAAAGAAGCCAAAAACAACGCATAATCATCCAATTCCCAATCATGTAAACCCCTCCCGAAAGTAATGTTCCAGCTAGGACTCCCATTCTGTATAGCCATAACCTCACTAACCATAGTTGAAGGCTCCAAAGCAATTCGATGCAAAACAGGAAACCGCACTTTTAACGATTGATCTCCACACCAACAATCATCCCAGAACCTGACTTTCGTACCATTCCCCACTTCCATAGCCAATCTGTTCTGAAATTCGCTCCATCCCTTCCTGATATACCTCCATAGGCTCACCCCATAAGGACCACGACCTTCACCCGAACACCACCCCCCCTCCATAACACCATACTTTACCCCTATGATTTCTCTCCAAAAACTCTCCCTCTCCACTCCAAACCGCCACAGCCACTTACCCAACAAGGCCTTGTTAAATAAGACAAGGCTCCTCAAACCAAGACCCCCCACCCCAATAGGGGAACAAACGTCTCCCCATTTAACCAAATGAAATTTCCTCTCTTCTCCCAATCCTGCCCAAAGAAATTCTCTTTGTATCCTCTCTAATCTGTTTGCCACTGCAACGGGAATAGGAAACAATGATAGAAAATAGGTTGGGAGATTAGAGAGGGTGGATTTGATGAGAGTAAGACGGCCTCCTTTTGAAAGGTAAATACGCTTCCACCCTGCTAACCTCCTCTCCACCCTCTCAAGAATTCCATTCCAAATTTGTTTACTTTTAAATCGTGCTCCTAAAGGAAGCCCAAGATATGACATGGGCAATTGTGCAACCCTACACTCCATTATGGCCGCCAATTCCTCCACGTTATCAACCTCACCCACTGGAATAGCCTCAGATTTCCCCAGATTCATCTTCAGTCCAGACACCGCTTCAAAACACAGAAGCAAACGACGCAAATTTCTGATTTGCTCATCATCTGCATCGCAAAAAATCAGTGTATCATCAGCAAATAACAAGTGGGAGACCTGTAGGTGACCAACCGCAAAGCCTCGTAACAGACCCTCCAACCCAGCTTTCTCAACCATCTTACTGAATGCCTCCATCACAATAACAAACAGCAATGGGGACAACGGATCACCTTGTCTCAAACCTCTACTGCTCCGGAAGTACCCCTCGGGATTGCCATTAACCAAGACTGAGAACGAAACCGTTGAGATACAAAACTGAATCCACTGACACCACCTATCCCCAAATCCGCATCGCCTGAGCATATACATAAGAAATCCCCAGTTGACATGATCATACGCCTTTTGAATATCCAGCTTACACAACATCCCTGGATCCCCCTGACTTTTTCTTGAGTCAATGCACTCGTTCGCTATAAGAACTGAATCCAAAATCTGGCGCCCTTTCACAAAAGCATTTTGAAACTTAGACACCACTTTTCCCAGAACCTCCTTCAATCTATTAGCCAATACTTTAGCAATGATCTTATACACCCCACTGACTAGGCTAATAGGACGATAATCCTTGATATCAGACACTCCCGATTTTTTAGGAATCAGCACAATAAATGTAGCATTAAGACTTCTCAAAAACCTGCCACGCTCGAAAAAATAAGTGATGGTCTCCATAATGTCCGATCGCACTACCTCCCAACACGCCTTATAGAATGAAAACGAAAAGCCATCCGGTCCAGGAGCCTTATCATCATTCATATTAAACACCACCTCCCTTACTTCATCCTCCTCGAATGGTCTCTCTACCCAACTGGCATCCTCTTCGGTGATAGTGGAAAAGTCAAGCCCCTCCAAAGTTGGCCTCCACTCAAACTGCTCCCGATAGAGATTCTGATAAAATCTCACCTGCTGAGTCACAATATCATTTGGATCTTCATAAGTAACGCCATCTACATCCAACGATGTGATAGAATTATTGCGCCGATTAGAATTAGCGACCCGATGAAAGAACTTGGTGCATTTATCCCCCTCCTTCAACCACATAACTCTCGATTTCTGTCGCCACGCAATCTCGTCCATCACCACCAATCTCTCCAACTCTCCCCTTAACATACCACGTCTCTCCCTCTCCTCCCCATCCAATCCTCGACTCTCCTCCTGCCTATCCAATTCTTCTATATCTGACAGACACTGAGTTTTTCGACAATCTATGTTTCCCACCACCTCCGCATTCCACTTCTTTAAATCCCCCTTCAAGGCTTTCAATTTCTGATGTAAAACAAAACTTGGAGACCCCCTGAAATCATAAGATTCCCACCAATTCCGCACTCGCTCCCCAAAACCATCAACCTTAAGCCACATCTTCTCAAACCTAAAAGGTCTTCTTCCACTACCCCTCGTAATCCCAGATAACAAAATAGGGAAGTGATCTGAGTACACTCTTCCCAGTCTCCTCTGAGTGACATCTGCATACTTAGCCTCCCACTCAACGCTAACCAAGAATCGATCTATTCGGGATTGAATAGGTTGGTCTCTATTGGATGACCAAGTGAACTCTCCCCCCATCAAAGGTAAATCCACCAACATATTCTCACTAATAAAATTTGAGAAGTCCTCCATAGCCCCTGTTAGTCTCCCACCACTCGACCTCTCAGTAGGAAACCTAACCACATTAAAATCACCCCCAATGCACACTGGTAGGTTCCACCATGTCATCATACCAACCAATTCATCCCACAAGCTCCTTCTGTTCTCATTTGCGTTAGGCCCATAAACTCCTATAAACATCCATTTAAATCTATCCCCAACATTACTAAACGAAAGTGATAGTGAGAATAACCCTACACTAACCTCCTCCATATCAAAAACTCTAGTGTCCCACATGACTAGCACTCCTCCTGATGCCCCTGATGCTCCAAGAAATTGATACCCGACATGCTGTCCCCCCCATAAAGTACTCACAACAGCCCTCGAGACAACCTCCAACTTGAGTACTAAACAAGGTCAAACTCGACATGTTGTTTATCGCACTAAACAAGGTCATAAAACTAGTCCACAGAATTTTAACATACCATTGTTTCAAAATCTAGTTTGAGAATATCGGTCTAAGGCAGTGAACAATTGCATAATGCTTGTAATTATGTATTGACAAAAAAAATTATTTCAGAACTAAAAATGAAGACATAATTCATGATGTTTCAATAGTATGACATGCAGACCTTTCCAAGAATTTATAAGAAACTATACCCCATGTACTTCCTAGGAACTAGAGCTGTGCCCTTTCCCTTGCTACAAAATACTCAAGGATCGGCTTTAGTAATTATTATGGAATCCATATGTGATTTGTGAATACATGCATAGACATATAATTTATACCTTTTGGATTTAATTTACACTTTTTGCACATTTTTGTGGATGGAGAGGTGAAATTGCTTAAAATCTTGTCATGCAATGTCCATAAATGACAAGATCACATTTCACGAGTCAAAGCAAAACAAAGTTACGACTCTCGCACACCTGAAAACAGTATTTATAATACCCTTCTTCAGATCATTTTGGAACTGACCACTGGACACTGGACAGGCAGAGTACTACCCTTTTTTGGGCACTGCGGTAGTGGGGATCGAAATCCTTCTACTGGTTTCAATTCAATAATATTAAGAAAAGAAAATTAAAAAAATTATTACAGACATGGACCTGGATGCCTATATATATGTGTCCAGAGGTTCAATTTCCTTGCCTCAAGCACTAAAGTTCTAAGTGTCATCAAAGTCCAGGTGTGGCTCTTGATTTATAGTTGATGAGACCTCTAAAGCAGGCTCCACATTTGTACTTGAATGCTTTAATCAATTATACAAATAAATTAGCAGTGGAAATACAGATAGGTATATCGCCAAGCATTCAGAGAAATTTTAATGTGGACCTGAATCCTTATCAGATTGTGAATCATTGTCTCGATCACTCCGTCCAGAATGGCTTTCCCATCTCCCATAAGTGCCTCGCGAGAAATTACTAGAATCCCCACGAGTAGGTGGTATCGAGCCATACTCAATGCGTCTGAAGCCCTGCAATGGAAAGCTTCCTGAATTTCTTGGTCGATCTTGCATGCTTTGCGAGGCATCCACGAATTCACTGCTTCAAATTCAACAAAATACATATATCATGTCACAGACTCACAGTACCTCTTATATAGAAATAGAAACAACAAGAAAGGAATGCAATAAACCAACAGAACTGGAAGATAACATGAGAAATATTCTTTTGAAGCCATTGTCTAACTAGGCATTAGTAATTCTCATGGGGTGAGCGGGGAGCATTCTTACCTTAGTATAGATTCGTCGAACCCACTTGGTAAGTTCTTGCAAATATCCAGATCACGCAAAGACAAAAGGAACTGTGTAGTGTACAAGATTTTCGACTTCCTATAACATAAAAACAACTTGTATGTCAATTTTCACCCAAATAAATATGACACCAAATGAAACTAACAAACTCATTTAAAGAAGAGCAAGTTAATTACTTTTGCACTTCGTGCAACTTTTCAAAGACATTGTCCTGTGAGTTTTGATCTTCATTTTGTAAGTTCATTCTGCGATTCCCAGCTAAAATTTCTTGCTGTTGGGCTATATATAACAAGCTCTCGTACACAAATCACACCATCCACCAATATAATTAGACCAAGCAAAAACTCAATTCTACAAAGTATACCCCAAAACTCAATCAAAATCCTCAATTTCCCATGAACCTCAAACTGAGCCCTCGAACCCTCCCACTATCCAATCAAACCAATAGCAAATTTGTCAAACCTCCAATTTTTGAGCTGATTTCATATATTCACACAGATAAAAGCTAACAAAGCAATAGTAAATGCTATAACTGAAAACCGAGCTAATCCGCAGTCTGATGCTCAATCAAAACCCATCCTAAATCCAGTGAAATTCAATATACATACATGAAAACAAAACACCCCTACCCTTTTCTCCTAAAGCAAAATAATTAAAACCTCAAATTACCGATAATAACGCCCCGGCTTTCGGTACAAAATTATCTAAAAGCATGTCCTAAACCAGGTTTCTGTTTCTGCCTGAATCGAGAGAAAAACAAAACTAGGGTTTAGAATTTCTTAGTTTTTTCCTCCTTTGAGATCAATCGTCTGCTTAATGAGAGAGAATTTAACACACACATACACCTATATACACACGTATATGTATAACCGTCGTATGTATAGACAGGTAATATATGTATTGGTGTGTGCATATATTCCGAATTGTTAGAGAGGGAGATGAAGAGAAATGTTTTGTTGGGTATCAAATACGAACATTTGCACCGTTTGGACGTTAATTTATAGCAATTAGTCCTCGACTTTCATTATACTTGTAAAATCAGTCTTTAACGACTAAAACCGTTCAAATATTCATAAAATTCTCATTCGACCGTCATAGAAATGTTTCTCGATTCAAATCTTATTTATCCGTTCAAGTTGAAAATTAAGACTATAACGTTATAAAAATAGACTTATTTGATTAGCAAGTTAATGCAACGATAAATTCTCAATATTTCATTTAGGAATGACAACGGGGTAGGTATGAGACGAGTCAACTATTCCCACCTCAATTCCGTAAAGTATTTTTATTACCTTACTCTGTTCCCAAATTATGTTAAAGCGAGACGAGTTCGGGACATGATAGAGGTGTGGCGAGGTAGGTTCCATGCCCTATTTATCGTCCCATTTATTTTTTCTTTTTCTTTTTTATTTATTTTGTTTTTTATTTTTTTTTTTATGTCTTTAATTAGCAAAAAAAAAATTCAATTCGTTAAGAACAACTTATATTCTCTTTAAAAATGATGATAATTTTTTTATTTTTAAATTTGAAATTAACTTTAAACAGGGGATAATGGGAAGGGGACTATATTTCCTATACCCGTTTCGGTGCAATGACCCCCTCCCGTTTAACCGATTATGTGGGTAATTTCCCTCACCATTCTAGACGAGGTCCCTCGGATATTGAGTTGAACGAATTTTTTTTCTCGTCCCTAATTTCATTGTGCTTAAGTTTGGTTTAGATGAAACTTAAATTTTAATAGATTTTGATTGAAAAGTCGTGGATATAAAAAATATATGATTGACTTAAATCTTAGCTCTTGTTTGGTCTTCATTATTTTCAATCACATATTATTCAATAAAATAATATTACCTGCAAATCTCAAAATTTTCCTTATTTTTTAACTATACATCCTCCATCAAAATACTATTCCAAAATACATTTTAGACAAAAAAAAAAAAAAAATGAGGCTCCAACATGCTCTTAATATAACTTTTTTGATGAACCAAACATGAACTATAATTGTAAAATTAATCCCTAATCAATCGAAACCATCCAATTTTCTATAAAATTGTCATGTGATCATCATATAAATAATTATCAATTCATGCTCTTAGGTACTAGTTCGAGTTGAAAAGCAAGACTAGTTTCATAAAAATAGACATGCGAGTGTCCCGGTAAATTTGGATAATTTTTGTCATTTAAAAATAGAAATTGCTCTTTTTAAAATGTGAGACCAATTTGATTATACGACAATAGATTGGGGACTTACATTGAAATAACATATAAAATTTAGCTAAAAAATGATTAAAATTTAAGTGCTTATTTGATACTTTTTAATTTATTTTATGATTTTTTATATAACCATTTTCAACCACACATATACACAATAAAATATTCCAAATGTATAAAAAAAAAATTCATACTTTTTAACTACACGTACTCTTAAAAATCATTATCAAAACTCTCTCTTTCTACCAAAATAGTTGTCAAACAGGCTATAAGTCGTGATCTAACTTGGAGGTAATTGTTCTAATAATTACCCAACTTATATTATGGTCATGGGTTACTCGTTGAACTTAAAAATTCTTCATAGTGCTCACCGAACTTCGTTCGTTTACACTTCATCTAGCATTCTCAAAAATCCATGACCTTATTTGTTGACGTAACTGATGGAAATTTGATGGGACAAGTTATTGCCGTTAAAAAAGATATAACTCGGTTATATCATTATTTCATTACTCATCCAACTTACACTTGTTCACAGCGTAATCATCAAAGTTCAGGATGATTCCCAATGGTCACTCATCCTTGAGAAGTTACACTCCATTCACCATCCGCTATATTTTGTTCACTTCGTTGCTAATATATCACACGAAAATTCCACGCCGCAAATTACAATCGTTAAAAAAATTATAATTCAGCTAAACCATCAAATCACCAAAATCACAAACTTCTTTAAAACCCAACAAAACATCCCCAATATATGCCCTAAAAAACTCTAGCCCCCAATTCACTCATCTCACCCATGTACAATTAATTTGTGTAATAAGACATAGCTGATCGTTGCGAATGATGCGATAATCTACTACTTATAAAGTTATATCCCCCAATTGTACCATCAGCTTGACGTCTCTCTTATCCCAATCTTCCATTTTTGCGGGTGCGTATCCAACTATCTGAGGAAGGAAATGTTATCGAACTTTGACGATCGGTGTACGATGGAATACCTTTTAGGCTGGGTTCACATTCGTTGTTCTACGCTCATCAATTTAGCCGGAGTTCAACAACATTTCCTTCCTCAAATAGCTGGATACATGTCTGCAAAAATGGAAGATTGGGATGAAAGAGACGTCGAGCAAATAATACAATTGGGGGATAAGACTTTACAAGTAGTAGCTCATTGCATCCTTCACAACAATAGGCTTTGTTTAATTACACAATTTAGTTGTACGGAGGCGAGACAAGTAAATTGGGGGCTAGGATTTTTTAGGATTGAAATTGAGGGCGCTTTATATGGTTTTAAAAAAGTTTATGGGCTATGGATATCGCGTTTCACGTATGGTGATTTTGGTGAGTTAGTGATTTGAGAGAGTCGTAATTTTTTAAATGATTATGACGTGCCACGTAAAATTTTCGTGCGATACATTAGCAACAAAGGGAACGAAATATGGCGGATGATGGATGTAGTTCAACATTTCAAATATGAGTGATTATTGGGAAGTATTTTGAAATTTGATGAGTAAACTGTAATCAAATATAAGCGAGATGAATAATAAAATAATGATTTGACTGAATTGCAATTTTTTTACCAGACTTGGCATTTTGAAGAGTGTAAATACACAAAGTTCAACGAAACACTGGGCGAGCACTTCGAAGTTTAACAAGTAAATCGTGATCATGTATAAAAATTGGGAGATTAGGAGTCGTCATGCTTGTACGACAACAAAGGTGTGCTGAAGTCAAACAAAGAACAAACCAATTAATCATCCCATTGTTTTCACGGTGTTCGGGAATTTCCTCCAAGTTTAAGCTCAATTAATACTTTATCATTCATTATTGATCTCACGCATTAATCTTAATTCATATATATATAGATACACGTGTGTGATATACATATACGGCTATACAACAGATTTCACCGCGTAGCAGTAGTGCCAATGGCTAAACCCTCATTTATCAGATCAGAGCAATCCTGGGCTCCAGCTCTCACCGTCGACCGTACAAATCCCGTCGGTGCCGCCGCCGCCTTTTGCCGCCGCGACCTTGTATTCGTTGTCAATCCTCGAGGTCTCGATTTCTCTTTCCGTTTTTTGTGCAGTTATATATGTGTGGTTTTGGAGGTGATTTGTTTGCTCTCTAATTCGTTTTCGTGTTTTGTTTTCTGATATGTATTTATATATTGTGGGTATTTGGAGGTGAACGTATGCTCTCTAATTTGGGTGGTTTTTGTGGTCTTTTTATGTCTATTAATTGATTGTAATTGAGGCAGGGGCTAATGGAAGTACTGTTAAGGAATGGAAGAAATTATTGCCATACCTAAGGTCTCGCCTTGGAACAGAATGTAATGTGAGTTTTCTGATTTTCTATCAGTAGATTTTATACATTTCCTGATTTTTGTTGCTCGGCCTTTGAAATTCAGTTCAACTTGAATAGTTGTTAATTTATTGATTGATCGGAATTCAATCATAAAGAAGTTATTCCCAAAAATTCAAAACATTTCCTCACACGAATAATTGGTAAAATAGTATTGGGAACAGTAGCAATCAAATATATTTAGTCTGTCCATCCTTAGGTATATTAATCCACGGTATGATTCAAGGACAGATAACGGCAGGGCTTGAATATTTGCTCGAACGCATTCTTCATTACATTCTTGGAACTCACATCCTCTAATTCGGGTTGTATTTCTCAATCCATCAAATCGGTAATTTTTTTACGCTTTTTCAATTTTTCTTCCAATTTTACACTCTCTAAAACAATTATTTTCAAGCCACATGTTTTATTCAAAACTAAGTTATAAATAAAAGATATAATAGCTAAAAAATCTACTTATAAGACAAAAGTTCACTTTTATGTAAAAAATGTTTATAAATTAAAAAAATACAATAGCTAAAAAATTTACTTATAAGCAAAAAAATTACTTATAATTAAAAATTGACTTATAAGACAAAAGTTCACTTTTATGTAAAATAATTGTTTATAAATTAAAAAATACTACTCATAAGACAAAATTTCACTTATAAAATATAAAAAGTTACTTATAAATAAAAAATTCAAACGTGTAAAAATTTAACTTATAACTATAAAGTTTACTTATAAATAAAAATATATATAATTAAAAAATTAATTATAGGTAAAAATTTCACTTTTAAGTCATAATTGACTTACATACATAAAAAAATTATGAGTAAAAAAATTTCATACAATATACTAAAATTTAGAAATTCTCTAAGTTAAAAAATTTGGATGTCGTCCATTAGGAAGTATTTAGCGAAAAGAGCTTAGATGTAACTACTAATGAAAATTAACTTCACAATTATATTCGTTTTTCTTCATCTTATAATCCAATAGAAAATGATTGGCATACAAGAGCTTTTAAAAGGAACAATAATTAGTCCAAAGGTTAGTTCATAGACAATAGAAAATGATTGGGTAAACTATGTAAAACAATATTGAATTGTAAGGAGTGACAACACATACCTACCTTTTTTTTGTATATATATATATATATGTAATTTTATTCTCTTAAAAACTTCAAAAACCGTTGAATAATAAATTCCAAAGCATGGGTTGGACTATTTTAAAAATCATCACTAAAAAATCATCCAAAATCAGATCCCTCATAAACATCCAAAATCGGTACTTTAGAAAACTCCAATAACCGGTACTTTGAGAAACCCCAATAACCCAAAACTCCCAAGCAGGCCCTTACTCTTTACTTGTGTAAATAAATAAGCAAATTCTCTTTAGTTGAAATCCATGTAGACTACTTTTCCTAAAAATGATTTTAGGAATTCAGGTTTTACACTGTTCAGAATAAGTATCTCATATTAAGAAATTTTATCTAATGTGGATCAAGCTATTTGTTGGTTTGTATCATGGACAATCCAGCTTAGGTAATGTATTTGTGATTTTTCTGAATGGTTACTTTCTCTCCAGGAAACATTATATCTAAGCCCACTATGTTCTGGGTTTGATATTTAGGAAATTGTTTATATTATACATAATTACAAAAGTTTATTTTCTAGTTACATATCTTACAGTTCAAAAGGAACATTATTATCAGTGTGGGATAAATCCAAATGATGTTGCACGCAAACTAAAACCTACAGCTCATCTGGCCTCTGTTGCTACTATTTCTATTTTATGGTAGTATTTCTTCATATACGCATATTATTCTACTCAAAATTCATTGATAGATGGTTTTTTTTTAAATATTTTGGTCAGATATGTGAATCTATGACTTCAGGGCCTTGCCATGCTATTGACATAACGAGGGAGGTAAGCAACTTGTGCCGTGAGATTTCACACCACAGAGGGTAGAATACTTGTAATATAGTGTTATTCATGACAGGCAATACGCGAGGGTGTTGATGCTGTGATTGCTGTTGGGGGTGATGGAACTCTTCACGAGGTGCATCTTACATTTCATTTGGAGGGGAATGTAGTTTATTTTTTGCATGTCTACATTCTTGTCAAATGCTTTGCATGCAGGTTACTATGTTTTTTTACCTACCTCAGTCACTTTTCTTGTACTATTCCTGAATATTATAATTTTCAAAACAATATTGCGTGAAATAAAGGGAATAATAGGGTAGAATCGCCATAAATTTCTTCTCTCCTAGTATTGAAACTCTTTTGGTTTAAGGAATTCCAAATAATTGGATTAGACAATGACCGAGATTTACAAAAAGTTACAGATGGTGGAATGCAAAAACCAATTTAAAATTCAGCGTTTTGAGCGCAATACTTTTCATTTTGGTTGAATTGAGGAAGAAAAGACTAAAATGTCATCTCTGATTTAACTCATACTGGAACAATGCATAGTGGTACTAGATTGTCTAGATTCTGAATAGAATTTTTCTCTGTCGTCTTAGCACTTAAAGCCTTTTCCTGCTTTACATTGTCTGAGCCAGGGAGACTTATTGGAAGTTAAATGTCTTAGTTAGAGCATCTCCAACAATGCTCTTTATTTTAATGAGCATCTTCTCTAAAAAATAAAAATAAAAAAAGATTACTTGAAAAGAAAGATTGAATTTTTTCACCAGTCCAACTGTCCAACAACACTGTACTTCATCTTTATCTTGATTTTAACTTAAGCAATTGTTACTCAACATTTTCCCTCATTTTTTTACATAGCTTCATTTTTATTTTGTCATTTTTCCTTTATCTTATGGAAAGGTGTGAAATAATAAATGGAAGCACTTTATTATTGTATGTAAGAGTGGGATTGTTCTCTACATATGGGGAGTCAAATCCACTTTTAATTTTAGCTTTTAAATCTAGAATTTGTTTGACTCTTAGGAAAAGAAATTGTGACACATGAGCATATAATTTGACAATGAACAAGACAAGGGACAGAAACTGATGAGGCCAAGAAAAGAAGAATTGAGGGCAAACAAAAATATCAATTTATTATATAATCAAAGGTTGTGAATTACAATGAATGAGCCCTTTATTTATTAAGCAAATAATCTAAGAGAAACTAAAAATAAACTGACTTCTACTAAACTAAAATTGTATCAAAATATCAAAACTGATCTTATCTAATCTAATCTAAATATTCATAATTGAAATTGAAATCTATTTTAAACTTATGTATAAACTATAACTCATCTATATTTTTATCTTTATCTTGATCTCCATCAAATTGGCCTCCCTCTAAAATAGAGAAAATTTGGCTAATAAAGAGCCTATTGAAGATGCTCTTGTATGTGGTATTCCAACTTTAGTCATGCATTCTTATTACCCTTTACTTGCTATAATGTAGCACTGTTTTCTTAATCTCTTGTTTTTCAGGTTGTTAATGGCTTCTTCTGGGGTGGTAAACCTGTTTCTAGTCATGATCTGAAGGATGGGCATACAACTGCTCTTGGTGTATGTGATCAGTGTGTTTTTAAATCATTATCTAATAATTTCTTTTAAACTGTGATGCTCATTTCAGTTCTTAGCGTGCCTATTGAATTCCTTTGTGAAATTGTGAGGAAGATTTATCTGTCGTCGCTTCTCTACAGCTTATCCCTTTAGGAACTGGATCTGATTTTGCCAGAACGCTTGGCTGGTCAGTCAAGGCATCTCCTGCTGGTTTTCTTGGAATTAGGTTTCGTTATTAGTAATTACTTTGGACCCTTGAACGGAAATATGAGATATGCTTGCTTATATTTTGTGTCATCAGGAAAAACGATCCTCATGATGCCGTGGAACGCATTGCTAAAGGTAATTTATGAGCTGCACTAATTAGCCATTGATTTGATTTGCTACCAAAATTTTTAATCTTATTGGATTTGTAATTGGCTATTGATATCTGTATCTTTTTACTTTTTCCCCTTCTGATAAAGTTGTTTTTCAGGGCTGAGATCTCCTGTTGATATTGGAGTCATCAGTGGACAAAGTGGAGAACCTCATTATTTTATAAATGTTGCTGATGTTCATCTGTAAGGACAAATTTTCTGACGATTTTAAAACTTGCGACCGAAAAGTCCATTCTTATTTGTATGTCTTACACAATACATTTTACAGGAGCGCAAAGGCTGGTTATTATGCATCAAGATACAAGAAATTTGGAAATCTCTGTTATGTCATTGGTGCTCTGCAAGCCTTTTCTGGTCACCATAACCAGGACTTCAAAATCAAGGTCAGAGTATAAATACCACTGCAATCCATTTCAAGTTTTATTCTTACCTTGAGTCTTGGTTATTTAATACTAAAAATCAATGATATTGTTCAATATTCTCATCTAGATTGATGATGGTGATTGGGAAGCATACTCTCAGGTAACAGCCCTTTGTGTTGGAAATGCAAAATTTTTTGGTGGCGGAATGAAGATTACACCAAATGCCCACCCCTCTAGCAGGGATTTTGAGGTGGAACTATTACTTATTTTTTTTAATCAATAATTTAGCCTTTTTCTTTCCTTTCATAGCTTTTGTGGCTAAAACGCTACAATTTACTTCACCTGCAGGTGGTTATTCTTCAGGACTTTAAATGGTATGACTTCATCCTCAAATTGCACAAGCTATACAATGGGACACACCTGTCAGTAACAAATGTATCTTCAAGAAGGTATACTTTTGATCTTGAAGAAGATTGTTTTTCATTTTTGTATGTTTTATGTGTATTATTTTATAATTGTGGGTTGTTGATCCACCAAGAATGCAATATACATTTTTGAAGTCCATGGCAGTTAATATAGATAGTTTATGTTTGAAGCAATTAAAGTGATGATTAACTTTAGATCTTTTTAGCCCATCGCATCAGAGAAATTTCAAGATTCTGTTCACAAATGTCAGTTAATTATTTTGTGATTCGTTAACGGATAGGTTGAACTTGCAAGCAAGATTTAAGATTCTCACGACTTGAATGAGAAAAGAGGAGAGATTATTCAGGATTTTACATGTATTCATTTATTTAGCGTAATTCTCTGATAAAGTATTATTTTTTTTTTCTTTTATTTCTTCACTTGATACATTTATTAGAGCCTGCATCCCTTGTTTCTTGCAGAGCACGATCGATAGAAGTTGAAGAGATTACCAGTAGTGGCAGGATCTATGTCCAGTCAGATGGGGAACATTTAGGGTTTCTTCCAAGGAAATTTACTATCTTACCTGGTGCTGTTGAGATGATATGCTAATACCAGACAAAGAGCAGTCATGTTTCATTGAAATTGAAAATAATGGTTTTAGCTTCCCCCCACAATCATAACTTGGTAACGGATGTCAAGCAGAATCAACATCACAATGAAGCAGAGTGTAACCATGCATGATGCATCTGAGATAAGGAAGTTTGGGCACATTGAAGTGGACTATAAGGTCCTGGAGTGTCCCTTTTCTGGTGCTTCAAGTTTATGCGTTAGATTGTAAGAGAACATTTCTGGAATGGTCGAAAAGGAAGAGGCAAAAGGATGAAATAAACGAGAATCTTCAGTGCTACACTTTCTTCGTCCACTTTAGGGAATTGTGTATTTCTTCTTCATGTAGCATCTTATTCTAAGGGTTTCTTCAACAATTTTGATTGTGAATGGTGAATCTTGTGAGAGAGAAAAAATATGGTTCTGAAATATCTTACAGAATGAATTGTGAATTTAATTAGCTGTTCTACTTGTGAAGGTGTTTGTCAAGTTGGTTTTAAAGTGGAGTAGGCCTGTGTCGATACCTATTATCCAACTCTTTGAACGATTATATCTGTCCATACTCTACTGACTCCCAAATCTGTTACACTGACCCAGACCCACTTAAGGGGGAATGTTGGAACCAGCGTCCTCCGTCTGAGTTAGGGAATGAAGTATGTATGTCCCTATTTGACAATCGTACTTTTCAAACTCTTTTCTTTACGTACTTATTTTCAATCACATTTTCACACAATATAATATTCAGCAAGTAAACTCAAAGTTTTCCCTCACTTTTTAACAACATTATCCTAAAAGAATTAAAATGTTTGTACACACAAAGTGTACACCTTAATTGACACTCTCGTGTATGTAAAAAATGTGGCAGTTGATTGGAAAAGGTGTTTTCAAAATTAATGTACCAAAATTCTTCAACTCACAAGGACAAGGACGTAAACCAATATGTTAATCTTTATGTACATGCATGATCCATGCTAAAAATTATTATTTAAAACTTAATTTTTGAGAAGTACGATTGTCAACAGGGATCATGTGTATGCTTGAAAGTAAGAATGACTTATTTATTTGTATCCAGAATGAAGCTACTTGAAACATATAACCTCTCTACATGTACATGTTGGCGAGTTGGATTTGATGGTATTGAGAGAGAAGAAATTCAAATTTGTTTTTGGGTATAGTTTAATGCTACATAACAGATGTACATAGTAAGTGCGCACTTTGATTTCTTATAGGGCCACGACTTGGCTTGATGACGCGACAAGGTGGCAGTTGGGTTTTATGTGTTACTTAAACCATTTCTTGAGAAATTGGACCTTTATCTTCTGCTCGTGTCTAATAGAATTAAATGTTTTTTACCTAGGAATTAAAATTTAAAAACATAGCAGTGAACACTTCAGAACTTTTTTGCCTTCCATTATAGTTTCTTTATAATTTAAAGGTAAAAATTAACTTTAATTTTAACCACACATTTTAAAAGACTCACAAAAATTTATCATTATAATTTTAGCAACCTGTAATGAACCAAACAAGCACTTAGGGTCCGTTTGATTGCAATTGTGAAAAATGGGTGGAAGAAAATGTTTTACAGGGAATTGATTTACATAGAAATTGTTTTACTATGAATTGTAATTAATCGTGTTTGATTGATATAATTTTTCATGGAAAATGTTGAAAGTTTGGTGTCCGCTTGGCTTCGTTTTTTATGAAAATTGTCCATTAAAATGATATTTTTTCTACCATTGGGTCTAGAATTTGTTCCAATTGTCAAAAAAATTATCATACCGAATACCATTCATTTGACTTTGTTTTGCATGAAAATTGTCAATAGAAGTGATAATTTTTTTACTATTGTGTCTAAAATTTTTGCCAATTGCAAATAAAAAAAAACCTGAAAAATATTTACCATCCAAAATATCAAGAATTTGTTTTCCTCAAAAAGGTGGAAAATTTGGAAAATAGGAAAACATTTTCCCGGAAAAATTGTCTATCAAACACTACAAAAATTGGAAAACCATGAAAAATATGGTGTATCAAACGGAGCCTTACTGCTACTATAGTACATGACATCACTGTTAATTCATATTTTATTATATATTTTTTCTTTTTTCATGATGAAAGCAACAGTATTATCACTTCATTTAATAATATTTTTAATCCATTTAACAATATTATTAAAAGCAACAGTATTATTTATTCATTTCATAACTATCAAAAAGAAAAATAATACTTATACTCTTGACGTGCATTTGAAATTAGTTCTCCTAAACTAGACGTGTAACATTTTTATTAATGATCTTCGTTGAACTCGCATTTTCTGTTCAATAATCTGCAAAAGTCCAGGCTCATTGACATGTATGGTAGATCTTTTTAGTCCATTATCATTCAGAAAAGAGATGAAGCTTCAAAAAAAAAGGATATGTCAATAGATATATACAAATTCAAACATTATTATTGGCACTAAACTGAGAGGCTCAAGAATTGAATAATATCTTAACTGGCAAAGCTTCTTCGAGACGACACAATGATCCGCACTCGAATACCTGGAAAAAAAAAAAAGAAAAAGAGGAGGTCTGGACACGTATGTCATGGATTAACTACATTGCTTCATAGATTCACAAAGAATTCCTAACCATAGGCTTAAACACTTGTAATGCATTCCTTATTAAAGCTGTGTCCTCCATAATGAAAACAGATGGTTTAATTCATATTTCCAATTTTCACAATGAAGCCTGACAGGG